AATAACATTCCATCTTTTGGATATTCAATTTGTTTATCTGTTCTTTTGTTGATAAGTACATATTATCCTTTTCATATTATTCTTTATATATTATATTTAGTGGTTTCTGCTTGCTTCCCCAAATGAGATTGTGATACCATTTATCCCTGAATATACAAACCCTATCTAAACCATGTTTGAATCTCCATCAGTTAATCTGTGCTTAGCAGATAGTAGTTATTCATTAAATTTTTGCTTTTGAATAAGGAGGTTTGAGAAAGGAAGTCAGATGGAAGTTACTTTGAACGATAGAAGAGAGATTGAGGAAAATGCTGTTCTGACAAAATGTGAGTTTTTCCACACCAAGCACGTCTCCAGTTCTCGGTGGACACTGAGTAGGTGTTCTACAATTTAACTCGTTTCTGACACTAACTCCCCAGAGTTAGTACAGACCCTACAGGTTAAAGGCTCAATCCCACAAGACTGTCCCCACTTCAGACACCAGTTGTAAGTCCCAGATTGTCACTTGTACTTCTGACCAACGGCTATAAATTGTGACTTTCCATGGCTCCCTCTCAGGTCTGATAATGTGCTGGAACAGCTCACAAAACTCAGGGAAACAATTACTTATATTTACTGCCTTCTTATAAAGGATATTACAAAGAATACAGATGAACAGCCAGATAAAGAGAGGTACTTAGGTCAAAGCATGGGGAAGGGCACAGAGCTTCCATGCCCTCTCTGGGTGTACTACCCTCCCAGTACCTTCATGGTTGGAAGGTCTCTGATGCCTTTGTTTAGAGTTTCTGTGGAGGTCCCATCATATAGGTGTGATTGATTAAGTCATTGGCTATTGGTGACTGAACTCAATTCTCAGTATTTCCCTGGAGGTCGGCAGGGGAGGGCAGGTAGGGCTGCAAATTCCAACCCTCTAATCACTTGACTGGTTCCTCTGGCAACCAGCATCCTATCCTCCAAACATCACCTCTTTAGCATAATCTTAGGTATGGCTTGAAAGGGCTTATTATGAATAACATTTGGGCTGTCTGTGCCAGGAGCTGGGGACAAAGACCAAACACATATTTATTATTACATCACAGTATCGCAGAAGATTAATCCAGATTTCACCCAGTGGCTAAGAGAAAGTGATAAGCTCCAAAGCATACTTGTTCTCAATGGAAGATTATACCTTATTTAGGAAAACTTTTCTTTAAAAAAAAATATTTTCAAATGTTTATTTTTGAGAGAGAGAGAGCATAAGCCAGGGAGGGCAGAGAGAGAGAGGGAGACACAGAAGCTGAAGCAGACTCCAGGCTCTGCACTGTCAGCACAGAGTTCCCCATGGGGCTCAAACTCACAGGCCGTGAGATCATGATCTGAGCCAAAGTTGGACACTTAACTGACTGAGCCACCACTCACCCCAGGAAAACTTTTCAAATGTTTATGTGTTGGGTGGTTTGGAAGGAAGGAAACTACGATGCATGAGATCTGTTGTTGGATGTCTAGGTAGCTTGGGAAACTAGTTTCAGCAAGCTACCTGCCTCACCAGGAGAGTCTTTACTTCTTGCCGAGAAGCTAGTAATGACAGAGTCTACTACATCACTGACACAGAATTCCTGTAGAGTCTGTCCTTGAACCTATAGCCCTGTATTTGTTGTTTTCATTGCAGGTAATTAAAAGTTAATATTTGAAACTGGTGAACTCAAGCAGAAATAATGACTTTGACTTACAGTATCAAGAGGTCATACCTGACCATGTGAATAAGGAGCACACTTCTTCTTGGGCTCCCACACACAGGGTGGGTCCCAGGGAAGGTCCCAGTCCTGGCCAGGCTTCTTCTAGATGGACCAGGAGGATAAGCTCTCAGTGGAAATGCCAAGACAGGGCAGGGTGACGTTTGGCTTTGTGTAGGTGCTTTTATTGTTTTTGTGGGTTTTTTTTTTTTTTTTTTACAATTTTATTGAAGAATAATTGGTGTAAGATAAATGACACGTATTTAAAGTGTAAAATTTGAACAGTCTTGACCTATACAGAGAAACTATTACCACAAACATGATAATGAACATATCCATCACCTCACCAATTTATGGTACCCCTTTGTAATCCCTTCCCCCCCCCTTCTACCTGTCTCATCCCTAGGCGACCACTGATCTGCTATCACTGTAGTTTATTTTGCACTTTTTAAGAATTTTATACAAATGGAATTATAGAGTGTGTGTGTGCTTGTGTGCTCATGTGCACGTGCACACATCTGTGTATTTATTCCTTCTCTCCAGTTTGGCCTTTGGAATATAGAGAAAGTGCAATGAATGTATCCTTGAGACACATTTGGTTTGCTGAAGTAAGAGGTGGGGGTTACATCCCAGGAGCTGAGCTGACTCCTTTCTCTACTTGCAGTTGGCAATCTTTGGACCGACTTTTCCTGAACAGAGGCCAGGGTTTAATATGACCAAGCAGAGTGGAGGCAGGAGGTTGTTGTTGACTTTCCAGAAATTGTTGGCACAAATGCCTTTAGTGCCTTTAGCCTTTGGGACTTTACGAGGTTGTGGCATGATTGAGATAAGCATAGTAAATTCTATTATAAGAAGGTGTTTTCATGTAACTGGAGCTGCGTAGGGCAGACTCATACTGTCACTGCAGATCCTAGAGCTGCCCGAGCTGTGTGACCTTAACGTAGCCCAGGGCAAAAGCTCTGGTTTGGTTTCCTACTTATAAGGACAGTGTTTCCTCTTTTCCTGGGTTGTGGGATAATGGAGTGAATGTCCATTCAGTCTAGGAGATACAAGTGGGAGACTTACTGAAGCCTCCCTGGTTGACCTGCAATCATAACAGTATGCTGACCCAGTTGCAGTAATTCGTTTATGGTGGATAATCCTGTATTACAAGGCACTGTGGCCTTATCCCTGCCCAGTCGTTATAAAATGAAAGGAGGGAGTTAGCCCCTGGCACTTGGCTCCTGCAGCAGGGTCCCCTAACAAGTTAACCAGGCATCCTTGTGCCTATAGCTCCAAGCTCCTGCAAAGGCACCAGAATGCCCTAGGTCGAGTCACTGCTGAGCCCCTGCACCCCAGGGCCTGGCCAAGGGTCACTGCCAGGGTGAGGAGGGCTGGGAACCCCCATGGAACTACAGGAAGAGGTGTGAGGGAAAGGGGATCTCTGCCTAAGGTCTGCTGCTTTGTTCACCTTGGCCTGATTTTCTCTCTGCCCTCTTTTCTAACATCCTCCCTATCCACCCGCCCGGATTCCCCCATCCTCTATCTCTCATCCTTCATTCCTTGCCCCTCACAACTTTGTTCTTGGGTTGATTTTTTCCATGAAAGTCCTCTAGGTTTAAGTGTTGCAGAGGGTATTTCAAAGGAGGTTAGCAGTCCATACGTGCACAGTGGCTGTGCTGGCCTCTGGCCACATGTGGCTGCTGAGCACTTAGGATGTGTCAAATGAAACTGAGAAAAAAACTTGATTTATTTTCCTTTTTTAAAGAATGTTTATTTTTGAGAGAGAGAGAAAGGGGGGGAGAGAAAAGAGAGCAAGTGGGGAAAGGAGGGAAAGAAACAGAGGTTCTGAGGCTGGCTCTGTGCTGACAGCAGAGAGCCTATTACAGGGCTCGAACTCTCCAACCACAGGATCATGATCTAAGCCACCCAGGTGCCCCTGATTTATTTTACTTCAATCAACTTAAATTTAAAAGCTGATAATTGATCAGTTATTTGGAAAACTTTTAAGTGTGTTTTGAGCAACTCCTGGCATGTGAATCTGCTTTTTCAACTGTAGTTTTGTGAAATCTAAATACAGATCAAATATTTTCAATGAAAATGTAGCATCTGAGTCAAGAGGTGCTATAAATGTAAAAATACGCACTAGGTTTCAAAGACTTACTACAGAACAAAAGAGTGAAAATACCTCATATCAAAATATCGATTTCAAAGTGTAGTATGTTGGATCCACTGTTTTTTTCCTTTTGGGAGGTGTGGCTACTGTGAATGTTCTCGTGTCTTGCATTATATTGTCTTATGTTCTCTTGGACTGTGTGCTGGATTTACAAGAGGAGGTAATGGCCAACCTGGAGACGGACTTTAGTGTCACCCGCCAGCCCATGGCTCTTGCCTTCACATCCCTGATTATCCCCTGATGAATCTTGAGTTCAGGGAATGGGAAGAGAGGCTATGTAGAGATGAGGGAGATGATTTCTTTGGCTCACTCCAGCCTCCCCTTCCCTGTTGTCCCAGCCCCGATGGGAATGAGAGTCACAGGCACTCTGTGTGTGCCTTGCTTCACCTGTCCTCACCCCAGAAGGATGCTCAAGGGGGCAGACAAGAATTCCCTGTGTTCTGACTGAAGAGACCATCAGAACCTGGAGGGGTTTATAATGTTTCTATTCTGAAGCTGGGTCCACTGTTTTATCACCTACTGGAAAAATTACCCATGGACAGTTCATCTATTTCCATCCTTGGGCAACCTAAGTGAAGTTTGGAAGCTTTTCTAAATAATGCAAACAATGATCATGCCTGTTTGCCTCTTTTAGCAAACCAGAATATGAAATCTGGATTTAGATAAAAATCATATGGAAGATGATAGCATGTTTTGAAAAAAAATCCAGAATAGTTAACAGGCAACCTAAAGAGGCTACCAACCTACTAAGTGCAGTACCTACTAGGACCCATGTCTGTATTCATGTCACTTTGGTTAGGAATGCCTCTCTCTTTCCATCCATTTGTTCAAATTTGACATATTCTATAAGGGCCAGCTCAGGTACCCCCTTCTCTCTGAGCCTTTCCCTAATTTTTCTAGACTTCCCAGCTGTACTCCCTAAGCAGCTACGTGATCCTAGGTCTTCAATGAACACACCATAGGCCTCTGTCCTCAGTACAATGATTAAGTACATTGGTGTGTTTTCCTTTGCAGTCAGGTTATAAGACCTGGATGCAGGTAACATCATTATGATCAGTTACTACCTGTCACCATAGACCAGGAACTATAAAGTGCTTTGCCAACAGTAATGCTTTAGCCTCACCTCCAAAAAGTCAGTGTCATGTGAAAAACATTTTATTTATAATTTCTCATATTTATAGTTTATTTCTTCATTACAATCATTCTTAACAATAAATACAGAGGTGCTAAACAGACCATCACAGCGGCCTGTGATCCATCCGTGGCACAGGGATGGAAGGGTGCTGCAGACCCCTGTGCTCCCCAGCAGTGCTCAGGAGGCCTTTAGAGAGTTTAGCAAGGGGGGAAGAATCTAGAACTCAAAATAGGATTAATTAATAGTCAGTGCAGGAAAATCCTAGAACGTCTCTTAAGGAAACAGGTATAAGTTGTTACTATTTTTACCAGATGTTACTAAAGAATCAGAACACAGAGATTCAAGCTATCCCGTTAGTGAGAAGCAAAGAACCCAGGGTGTTCCCTGTGTCCTTTTCCCAGTCTGGGCCTTGTTTTGTGATCTCTACCTGCTGTGCATCTAGCACAGCACCTGGGCCCTCCACTGGGTTTGTGTGAGGCAGAGGAGTGTCACACACCAGTGGCTAGTTTCCTGTAGTGGGAATAAGGGAGAACCTGAAGAAAGGCTTCCCAATTCCAAAGGTGCTGGGTCCTCACGAGTCCCATAATGATTCACATAGAAGTTGACAGTGTTGATTCTTGGAGCCTCCTGCCTGCCTCCCTAGCTTTGCTTTTTCTCAGCTACAGGGCAGGGGGAATGCCAGTTTTCATGGCTCAGTAGATCTCCCTTTGTTTGAGCAGCTGTCATGCCAGGTATGATGATCTCTTTGTTCTCTTACAAAATTGTTCATAAAAAGTAAAGAGCCCCATGGTTCTGGAGTGGTTTATGTTGGTTTCTGATTGGCAACTTTGGGCCAAAGCCAAGAAAGCATCCCCTAAGTCACATTGCTCTGTCATGAGGGCTGTCCCTGCTGTCATTTGACCAGCATCAGGCATGCTAATGGCAAGGCTGGGATGCCACCCCAGGCTCCAAACCTGTCAAAGTTCTCATACACACACATCTGAGTGTCCTAGACTAGCTACAAAGCCATGGGGGTGACCATCACTACAAAAAGTCATGACAGTAGAGAAGGGAGAAGACTTCTCAGAGTCAGAGGGAGGAGGAGTAGGAAAAATAATAATGAAACCAGGAATCAGAAAGTTCTCTGGGAACTGCAAAGTGCTGGCCACGAGAGGTTGGTGCTGGAGGCTCCTTCACAGTCAGGGACTAACTGATCTCCATGGGGCTCTTACATCTAGGAAAAGAGTTCTGTCTTTTCAGAAACTGCCTATGACTTGGGGGAAGACCATGAAGAATCTTTGTAACATTCCATTATTTTTGGTCCCTAAATATCATAGTGCCCCTACCCTGCACAGATAACTTCCTGCTTTCTTAGCTTGAAAATAGGTTTTAACCAGGCTTCGACTCAGTATCCCCAAAGTCAGAGAAGTAGGTAAGTCCCAATTCCAGAAAGGCACTAGAGACACCACATAAGTGGTCTCTTTGGGCAAAAGAGACAAAGCTCTTGAGTCATTTTGCTTCTACCTGTTTCCTCTAGATTCAAAAGCAGTTTGAGTCATCTCAGAACTCATGGCTAGGAGACAGAAAACAACACATTTTCAAGGAATGGCCTAATCATGTTTAAAGTGTAGAGTACAGAGCGTAACTGCCCTGCTGACAGGAGGTTGACCTTGGCCTCAATATTCTGTCCTTCTCACACCTAGGGCTCTTGACAGACAACTTCTGACTCTAGTTCTGACTGCAAAGTGAGGTTCCTCCAGACCTTAGGTGTCTTCTCATTCTCACCCTCTCAGGTCCCTTTAGTGCCTTTGAACCAAAGTACAGGACTTTGGAAATGCCTCTATTGTGTTTCAAAGAATAGCTCTTGTTTTCTCTTGTCTCTGATACCTTGACCCTTCCTGTAACATTCTTCCTCCCAATTGTAAGGTCAGACCAAAGGTTTTGTCATAGCAGAAGGAAATCAGAGGAGAGCAATAACCCCTTCCCTGAGGAAAGAAACTTGAGTCCCGAAAGCAAATCCTAAGCAAAGAGTGCACACAGGTCTGAAAGCTTCGTCAAGAAGCAGGATTTCCAGGATCCTTGAAATCACATTCAGATGAATCCCTGGATAAAAGTCTTTCACGACCACTAACAGCCCCCAGTGAGTGACTTGGCTTGTGTCCCCAGAATCCAGACAACTTGTGGTCCACCCAGCTGAAGCAGACTCAGAGTTCCTGCCTCCTTGGCGAGTTCTTCCCATCCATATATCGCACTGGCCGGTGGCCGTGGCCTTAGGGTGGCAGGGCACCCACCAGGAAGCCCCCCATGGGCCTGGAGTGTTTGTGGGCTGTGCTTCAGAGAACCCTCAGGTATTTCAAGTGTCTCGGGAGCCACAGTGTGTAGTGTCCAAAACGAAGTCCTTCCTCGGACATGCCCAGGGGTTCTGAGGCCTCAGGCATGGGCTTCGGTCTCCTTCTTGATGGCCGGTTTATAAATGACTCCTTTGTTGTCACCTTTTTTGCTACTGGAACAGGAAGAACATACATTTACTTTCAGTTAAAGAGAAGAGACAGGCAGAGAGGAAACCTGACTCAGCTATGAAATAAGATGAATTTTAGGGGTCAGATTCCTTTTTTAGGGACCTTTCCCCAGTCTGTCACTCTTGGGAGGAATGCCCCCAAATAAAGCATTAGCAGCTAACAATACTAGACCTGCACTTTGAAGATCTCATTACTACCCCGACTTCAAACCTTTGTATAACAGAGTTCCTGGAAACTTTTGTTACAATATGCCAGAAAAAATAGTTTTTCTAAAAACCAAACACGACGATAAAAACATGAGCAAAGGGCATTGATAGCTAATGTGAGTGATAAATCAGGTTTTCCTTCATGTTTCTTTTTGGGTTCAGAGAAGAAAAATCAGATATACAGATGTTAGAAAGAAGATAGCCTTGCAGCCTGTGTGTGGGCTAATGGGACCTCCTTCCCCCACTAATCCAGAGGTTTGTCTCCGGCATGAGCCATTGCAGCGGGGCTGGTAGACACACCTCCAGCTCTGAGCTTAACGATCCCTGAATGACCAGCATCTCATGCAGAGGATGCCAGGGGCAATGGTCTTTTGGAAACAGCACTCGTAGGATAAGTCTTGGTACAGGTGATAGGGGCTCTTCATTCCGCAGGCCACCTTCCCAGACAGACCAATCCACATGGACATAGAAGGTTCATTTTGAACCCAAACCAGCTCACCTCTTCTTTCTTCTGAAAAGCCAAATGGACACTGCCAGGACAACACAGATGCCAAGAACGCCAGCCAGGGCCACTGAAAGGATGATGCCTGGTGAAGAGGCAATGAACACACATTACCTTCCTCCCATCCCCTGCATCTCACCCTGTGGCACACGGATGTGAAGTCATGTGGCAGCTGTGTAATCTGCCACAGGAAGGTGTAATTTCCCCACTTGTGTTCTCAGGTTCTGGTCTTTGGATCAGCAGAACTGGCTGGAGCACTTAGGGGGAGCCATTTGCAAGCTGTAGTGACTCATCAAGGTTCTCAAACTTGTACCAGGATCATCTGAAGAGCTTGTTTAAATGTAGACCTTTTTTGAGCCCAATCATCAGAGACTGATTCAGTGTGGAGTGGGGCCCAGAAATCTGCATTTTTACCAAACAGCTTTAGCTGATGCTGATGTACATGGTTCATGAGCCATACTTTGAGAAACCCTGAGCTACAGAATAAGAACTTTATCTTTGTTTGCTGGATTTAAGGCCCCTTGTGATATGTCTATCAGCTTTGCCCCCAAGCTCCATTGCACAGTCCTAAGCAGTCTAAGACAACCAGGGATCCATTGCCACGATCACCTAGCTAGTCACCCAACCTCCACACTGGGCTCAGGCATGTTTTTTTAGGCAATGGCTTCCCACCATGGCCAACAGCTCATTGAATGTACACATGCTATAGAGTGATTAGGTCTTTATCAGGGAAGCATTTGATTGGCAATTCATCTTTGAATCACACACAGAGTGACCTGAAGGTAGGACCCACAGCAAAGAGAGGACCAGGGGCCAGAGCAGCAGCACAGAGAAGCAGGGAGGATGGGCTAGAAGTGTCACAGGCCCGGATCATACCAAGAATCACAGAGGTCACCCAGCTGCAGCATGCAGGGCCAGCAGGCCACATACCCAGACTCAGTCCTGTGTAGGTAAGGTCTTGCACTTCAGAGGGGAGAGGAAAAGGGTAAAAATTAACCACGTCAAACCATGGTAGATCTGACCAGTGTTCTGAACATTTGGTTAGAAGTACAGGGCTGGGGGGCGCCTGGGTGGCTCAGTCAGTTGAGTGTCCGACTTCGGCTCAGGTCATGATCTTACCATTCGTGGGTTTGAGCCCCACATCGGGCTCTGTGCTGACAGCTAGGTCAGAGCCTGGAGCCTGCTTCGGATTCTGTGTCTCCCTCTCTCTCTGACCCTCCCCTGCTCATGCTGTCTCTCTCTCAGAAATAAAAGAAAGAAATTTAAAAAATTAAAAAAAAAAAAAGAACAGGGCTGATACAGACTTTCTGAGAGTATTCATTCTTGACTCCGGTGCCTAATGGCCTAGAGGGAATTGCCCACCTTGGGAATTTACACTGTGATGCTCCTTTCCAGTTTTTGTCCCAGCAGTTGTGTTGCTAGGGCAGGATTTCAGTTTTTAGTACAACACGGCTAGAGTGGAAGATGAGGAAGGATTAAGGTCGGAGCCGTTAGGAACAAACGGGCAGGCCGTTACCTTCCTGCTTGGGCACCTATGCCTCTTCATCTGGTGATTTTCTGACCTTAGCAGAAACTTCTAGCAAAAGTGTGTATGTGTCGTGTGGGTGCTGATTCGTCCAGTTCACACTGGAAGCCAGAGTTGTACTCAGAGTAGTGGCCACCCAGTGTGACACTCAGGAGCGCTTGTGCCCACAGAGCCCACTCTGAGACTCAGACCTTGGGAGAGCCCTGGCCAGTTGTGAGATGTCAGTAGAGGGCCAGGGACTCATACCTGGGGACACTTGACACCCTGGGGAACCAGACTTGAGACTGCAGGACGAGGGCTTTTTCGTTCACCCCCTTTTCCTGTTATGTGGCCAGAGTCTGGCTGATTCCCCCTGGAGCCCTCAGCCCTGAGTCTTTCCCCACTGTCCTCTTCCAGTCTCACATGGAGCCTGCAGCCCCCCTCATCCAAGGCTGGCCCCTAGGCATCTCTGGTCTGGCCTGCCCAGGTGGCCCCAGGCTGCTGTCAGAATAAGCAAAGCAGTTCTGGAGAGGAGCTGCCACAAAGTACAGGGTGGCCTGTTCTCTTGGCTCTTGCTAGCCATCAGCAGCAGCCCGTGGCCTCCCAAGAGGCAGAAAGAGAGCGCGGCTCCTGTGACCTGATTCCCTGATCCAGGTCCCTTCTTGTAACGTGAATACAAGGACCAGTCTGTGGCTTAGGGAGACACTCGGGATGCGAGTCTCTCCTGAGGAGAGGTTCCAGTGCCTGTATAGCATATGCTCTGTTCTCTGTACAGCCTCTGGCCCCTGCACACTGTAATATGGTATTTTGGTTTTTTTTTTTTAAGGTACCTAAAGGCAACCAAGGCCTCTAAGATCTTAAAAACAACCAGAACCAACACCCCCAACTTCATCATGGTTTCTTTTCCAAGCCTTTTTGGAAAAGATGTTCTTTGTTCCTAAAGCTCCAGATGTTTGTGGTACCAAACTAGTTCTCGCCACATAAGACCATTACTAGTAAGCCTAACCACTGGCTAAGCCGCCCAAACTGAGCGGTTTCTAGAGTTGTTGCTTTCACAGTCACCTCAAACATCCTGAGAGCCACAGGGGCCCCGGACAGCTAAGCAGCCCCACTCCAGGCTGTAGGAGGCGCCCCCAGGGAACTTAGGAGGCAGAGCCCCTTCTACAGAAGCAAGGCTGCCAGAGATGGGACTTTTCTCAAGAGCCCATGGCCCAAGTTGGTGCCTTATCTGGAGGGAGATCTGGCTGCCGTTGGCTGTATTAGGCTGTATAATTGTTTATAAACAACAGCCTAATTTATTTTATTTTTTATTTTTACAAATAGTTTATTGTCAAATTAGTTTCCACATAACACTCAGTGCTCATCCCCACAAGTGCCCTCGTCCATGCCCATCCCCCCTCCCCCCCACATCCATCAGTCCTCAGTTTTTGTCAGCATTCAAGAGTCTCTCATGGTTTGCCTCTCTCCCTTTCCCCCACCATTTCCGCCCTTCTTCTCCCCCTTGTTCCTCCGTCAAGTTCCTCCTAATCCTCCTATACGTGCATACATATGATATTTGTCCTTCTCTGCCTGACTTATTTCGCTCAGCATAACACCCTCAAGGTCCATCCATGTTGCTACACATGGCCAGATTTCATTGTTTCTCATTGCCATGGAGTATTCCATGGTATAGATAAACCACATCTTCTTGATCCATTCATCTGTTGATGGACACTTAGGCTCTTTCCATGTTTTAGCTATTGTGGAGAGTGCTGCTGTGAACATTGGGGTACACGTGCTCCTATGCCTCAGCATTTCAACAACAGCCTAATTTAATCCAGGGCTCTAACCAGGGTTCCTTGCTCCTGGATGACCAGTTGTGAGGGCCTCAGTCGCCTTTCTGTGGAAATAACGAAATGAGCAGGTCGCCACAAAGACCAGGAAAGCCCCAGAGACTGGGACAGATGCTTTTCAGCCAAGACTTTGATGCAACAAAAATAAAGCAGCTTGACTGAGCAAGTGAAGAGCATAAGCCACTATGGAAGAGGAATGGCAGTGAGGGGGTCACCTCACAAGAATTCTACTCCCAAGGGAGCCCAGGGCAGGAAGATGTTGGGATGCTGCGCCCTGCCAGTTGAACCAGCACCAAGCACCCAGGAAGTGGGACTTCTCTGCAGAGCCGGATGAAGTCCACAGGGCTTGGGGCCCCTTGAAGGGAGATGCTAAAGCATCCGCTAACTAATAGGAGAGGGAAAGGCACTTTTCCCGCTACTCTGGAGGCACAGAGATAGCTGTTGGGGCAACTGAAGAAGCAGAGCCCAGAGAGAGAAGCCAACACCTGCATCGAGCAGAGTGTGTGGGATGGTGTAGAGAATAGGGGACACAGATGATGGCGGGAGGGACACAGCCAGAGAAATTCATCTGCAGATTAAACAAAGAAATGGTTCCGGTTCTAAATGGAGACTAACACAGGCAGTTCCCACTGAAGAACAGTGAGATCGGAGAAACAGAGACAGGCTGTTGACAGGGATGGCCCACAAGAGCTACTGCATGAGAACACGATGAAGGGGCTTCTGAGCCACTTGGTTAAGAGGGTGCATGCCACACAGAGCTGCCTGCTCTCTGTAAAGTGCCCCGGCACCGGTCAGGGTGAGCAAAGATAGGGCGGTACAACACAGAGAGGGAAATCCCACAGATACAGAAGAATTCTGTTGTCACAGGCCTCCCGCAGGTACAATCCCGGAGGAGGCAGATAAGCTGGTTGCCGCAGGGGCACTGCTACCTGTTCTCGCTGGCTCAGGAGCTGCATCTTCCACTGGGATCTTGCTGGACCGAGGGATGCTGCTGCTTTAGTGCTTTGAGGTCTTCTGAAGCCTCAAGTGCAGACACAGAAAAGCCCAGCAAAAGGAACAAGCCCTTCATCCACACAGCTTGCAGTTCCTGGAACGACTCTAGCATTTTCGAGATCTATTTGCAATTCTGTTTATTCAAACAGAATTTTAAATAAAAAGGAATACGATCGTTCTCCTTTCAAAATATTATTTTAGGAGCGCCTGGGTGGCTCAGCTGATTGAGCATCCAACTCTTGATCTCGGCTCAGGTCGTGATCTCACGGTTTGTGAGTTAAAGCCCCACAGCAGGCTCTGCTCTGAGAGCTTGGGGCCTGCTTGGGATTCTCTCTCTCCCACTCTCTTGACCCCTCCCTCACTCACACTTGTTCTCTCTCTCAAAATAAATAAACATTAAAGAAATACTAATTTTGGTAGGTGACATCTTACATAGTTACATACATGTTTATACATATGTGTATGTATGTCTCTTTAGCAGTCTCCAGTCTTATAAAAGAGACAAGAAGAGCTTTGGTTTAGCAGGGATTGGTAGTTTAAATACATAAAATCCAGTTGGGGATGATAAAAGCTCTTATTATTATGCTTAATACAGGTCACAGAGTGAAGTAACTGAAATGCTAATCCTCTCTTTGGATGATGCTTTGGTAAGAACAGCAAGGAAGATGCCCTCCTTGACTACAGAACTGAACTCTCTTTGGAGGACGTATTTAACTGGGAGACTTTTCTTATTGACACCATGGGGCCCCAAAAAGAAATAATCTCTACAGATCTGCTAAAAAGATGCCACCAGATTACCTAATGGTGTTGGTTTTCTACAACCATGATAGGGACCGAGGGCTTTGCCCTCCAGGTTGCAGGATTGCAGGCCCCGGGCCAGGAAGCCACCACTGCTCTGTGTGGCTTAAATCCCAGGGTGGTAGGCGTGGGTTACAGTGGGAGCTGGGGGTTCAGTGCTCCCCACTCCCTTCAGTGGCCACACTCGGGCGGTCTCTGCTGAAGGAATGGTGGGTGGTGGCACCAGGGCCTCTTACTTTTTTCGGGCCAGAGCAACAGAACAAGCCTGACAGCATCCCTAGGTGACTCTCTCCTAGGACTTCAAATCTTGCGAGCTAAATTCTGATCTTTAAGGCTTCTTAAAACAAACGGATTGATTTGAATGCCTGTTGTCAAACTGAAAACAAAGCAAAAGACTTGAAACTAAAAGGTGACACCTGGCCAGGCTTCTGTTAAAATCATTCTGCAGAGAAGACCCTGGGGAGGGGAAGGGAAGGGAGATGGTTACATTCTTTCAATCTTGTAATGAGCTCCAGGCACAATGCCTGCCACAAAAGTGAGTCCCTGTCCTTAGGGTCTTGGAATGTGTGGATAATCTAGACGTGCTTGTTCTTTTTCTCTGTGGCAGTAAGTCATTATCCTGTGCTGTGCTCAGAACCATGACAGAGATGAACGGTTGTTCCAGCCGTACTGAAGGAGACTGTAAGTCACCTTCAGGGGAACAGGGAGGATTCCTGGCGTGATACTAGAGTTGGGTCTTGAAAGAATTTTCCAGGTGGAAAGCTGAGGGGCATCGCCGGCAATGGACCCTGTGTGCAAAAGTAAATCATGTGCACATGTTAAAGCAGTGCCCTGCTAAGGGAGACCCTGCGGGGCGTGGATGGATGCCAGGGGGAGAAATGCCTGAAAGATTGCTGCGGCAGCCTCACCAAGGGTGGGTCCAGCTTTCTGACTTCCCACCTGGTCTGCTCTGTGCCAGAGGCTTCTTTTTAAGGAGCAAGAGAACATCCACAGAAGGGTTTTTGTTCTCCATAGTGCTCAGCTTGGGGTGTGCTCAGGAAATGTAGTGTGTGGAATTGCACTAGAGGAAGGGACTAGGGACTTCTTAGCGCATTTGACAATTACTCCTGACTGTTCAGCCCCCTATATCCAGGGGGATTTGAAGGTGGGAACTCCTCTGGTCTTTCATTTGGATGTCTCAGTAGATTTGATGGTAGTTTCCATCTAACAATTTTTATTTAAAAATAGGAACTTTTAGAAACAAAAGGTCAGTAACCACAAAGCATACATTCTAGTCTCAAAAAGTAGATAATTAGCCATCTTAGCTTTGTAAGATTTTTTCCTCTTTTTAAAGGTTTTATAAAACTACCCAGGTCCCTCAGGGTCAAGCAGATTCTAATGGTGTGACTCCCCAGATTGAGCAGGGGTGAAAGCCCCACCCCTCTACTGTCCAGCGCTCTTGCCTACGAGTGCCTCAGCTGCTCCAGGCTCTTGCAGGGGGGACATGCGGTGCTCAGATGATTATAGAAACTCTTTGGCTTCCCCTTGTCCCTTAAGTGTCCCTGCCCCCTGGTATATTAAAAATAGGGCTAGATCACATTAGCATTTAGGTTTGATCCGGACCCAGTGTTGCTGTCCTTAGGTAGGAAGAAGTCAGTGTGAGGGAACTAAGAATCAGGCTCCTGTAAGTCTGCCCGTGCCATCTTTCTCCTTCCTCACAGAGGGCATCTGACTCCTGTGAGATCTGGTCTGGTCACAGGATGTTTCCCCCCCCCCCAACACTGGGGTCCCACCTGAAGAACAGTGACTCTTGTTTCCCCTCTTTAGTTCAAGTCCTCCATTTGTACCACTTGGAAGACGCACTTTCAAAAGAGCTTTAAAAAATTGCCTGACATGACTTTGACGTCTCCATAAAGAGTGGGCATTTTAACTAAAGGCAACAAGAAACACAACACACATGAGAGAAAAAAATGATATAAAAGCGAGGGAGAAAATGATAAGGAGTTTCTGAAGCAAGTTGCTGCCACAGAGGCATCTGGAGCCCTGATATAGGGTTTGTAGACTCCTCTTAAGGATGGATAGTTCTCACCCATCCACTTCTCTTGGCCTTGGAGAGTCCCAATTAGACTAAAAGCAGGTATATGCAAATTCTAAAGGAAGACGGGGAACAGGGCTTCTCTTGAGTTTGGTCATTTTACCTTACTAACCCAACAACCTTTCGGTTTCAGGGGTAGCCATCACCAGATTGAAAATGTCATGCTGCAATAGAATAAAGATCAGGGCATATGGTAGAAAACTCCAGAATCCTGTCATATGAGTTGGAAAAAAAAAAAAAAAACAGCATGGGCCTTGGAAAGTCCTCGTGTAATCCCTGGGCAGTGGTTCTCAATTTTGCCCCTCTTTCCCTGGAGACATTTTTGGCAGACACAAGTGGGGGGATGCTACAGGCATCAAGTGGGGATAGAGTAGTGCCATGCACTGGACAGCCCCCCGGTGAGCATTCTCCAGCCCAAAATGTCAATAGCACCAAGGTTAAGAAACCCTGCCCTAGGGCTAAATCATAGACTAACCCTCAAGGACAGATTACTACCTTTTAAGGACAGAAATTAAGTTCCTTATTCCTTTTCTAAGCACAGTTGAGGAAAAAGCATGGTCAATTTAAATGATTCAGTCCCAATTCCAATTTGGCTAAAACCTAGGAGCCTACTCTCAAAATCTGTGCACTTTCTCTCCTAGAGGATTTCCTTAACATTACTTTTCTCCTGGCACAATGTTCCAACTCCATAGTTCCTGTTAACTTGCAGAGAAAACTGAATAAATCAGACCCTAATTACAAGCATGCCTTAGTGAAAGTACAAATAAATGAGCACAATTGCTAAACGTTCACACTGACACACACTGACTGCCTAAACCTGAAACTGCACGTTATGGTCTGAGGCACCTCCAAGTTGGTAGGAGAGGGGCCTCATAAATGCAGGTACCCCTGGGGGGCGAGGTTTGGGGTTTCTTTCCTTTGGGGCTGCCTTCCCCATTGTTCCTTGGGAAACAGCCCCATTAGTTGCCTGTGTCTTTGATAAGTGGGAGGGGACAGTTCTAGCCAAGTTTCTATAATCAGCCTCTAAATGAACAGGTTTGCCTTGGACTGCCACGGTTTCTCACTCCAGGGGGAGAGCTGGGCCCAGCCTGGGCTCTTAGAGCAACAGTTCTGGGTGAGCCATGCAAGATGGGCAGTGGCAAAGCTGCATTTGGGCTTTGATCTTGATGTCCTAAGCTTGGAGTCGGTCTCCAGGCTTCAGCCTAGAGGCCCCTCCAGCTCCCCAGCCAGGCTGGGAAAGTCTGCTGAAGTGCTCTGCTGCAAGCATGCCTGCACTGCCCGCGCTGTGAGAGCCAACTTAGACCCAAGCTGGTCTAAGAAGATGGCTAATTATTCCCAGTGCCACAGTCCATTGTTACAAGTGGAGGTTACTTTGGGATGTCAGACTCAAGTTCCTGCATGGTTTCTTCTGATCCTCTGTTACTGCCCTCAAACACTGTCCCTGCAACGTAAAGTCAGGATGAGCAGTTGTTAGTGTCCACTTCGAATCATATAACGTGTTAGCATTGAAAGGACGTTAGCTCACCTAGTCCAACCTGTCGTTTTATGGCTAAGGAACCAAGGCCAAAGAAGGGACATGATTTGCTTACATCATACAGCACAAACTGAGGCCTTGAACCTAGGTCTTCTGACCGTATCCCCTGTTACTTTACATAGACTACTCTAGAGAAGAGCTCTGATTATTATCCTTGAATCACAAACAAAATATACCTTATCTATGTGAGCCAAGTCTCTTATCTCTAGGTAGAGTTGTGGTTTTTTTGGGGTTTTTTTTTTTTTTTGTATTTTATTTTATTGAAGAGTTGAAGTATTTTCCATTTAACCATTGACTACTACATACTCCATTTAGAGGAATGGAAAAAGAGAAGTTTATATCCAAACTAGATCACAAAGGGATGAGTCTGTACATTTGAGGCATTTCCTAGAAAAAAAGTTGACAGTCATCATCATATACACTGTCTGTGTTTAAGAAGGGCCATTGTTCACAGATTCAGTTTTCAGACCAGAAAACTGAGAAAAAGAGGGAAATTACCTTAACTGGTGGCATGTGGCAAGGAGAGCCCAAAAGATAAATTCCCGGGCAAGTCTTGATTAAGTAATCAACAGAAAGACATAATTCTGACCATATGTATGAGTCAGTTCAGAAGGGCATGTTTCTAAAGCTTTCTGGCAAGGGCCCTGAAATACGATCTTCCTATGTTTAAGCTTAGTCAATGATTGTTATAATCTCACACAATAACGAAGGAACAAGAAGAAGGTACACAAAGTGAGACAAGGAGAACGGATTCTTGGACAAGTGGGTTAATGGCGTCATCTTTAGATGTGAACACCTGGCCCAGTTCAGTCACAAGTGACACAAGGAGGTGAAGTGGAACTTGCACAGACCTACCTGCTTCTGACCATGGGATTCCCACGTTGGGAGTGGCCCAAGAATCTACAGTGAGAAGGTGTACTTGGAGGTTTGAAGAAGAATATGGACCCCCAGGGTGCTCCCTTACCTGTTTCCCTGAACCCCCAGCTTCCAACAGTATTGACATGGGTATTGAACAAATAAAGATGTTAAGTGTCCCTTGTGGGAGTTAAGGTTACCGATTTAAGAGGAAGAACTGAGCTTTCCTAGCATTAGGAATAAACCAAACTATTCAGCTTCATTCAGTATAGCTCTTGTGTGCCTGTGCTTGTGCAAGCTTAAGATGAGACAAAAAGGTAGTGAATGCAGACGCTTTCTTGCCTGATGGGTCCCGCTACATCACATTAGACCACGAGCTGCTATGGCCACAAATGTGGATGATTCCCACTCTGAAAGATTACGAAGGGGTATCCCTGGATGTTGGTGATGCTGATGGTGCTATGAATCACCTAGCAAGGCTGAAGATGGGCCTTGATGCCAAGAAAGCCTAGGGTAAGAACTTAGGAGTTTGTCTCGTGAAAACAGTCCTACCATGTGTCTTAGGAGACATAGTTCTCTGACGGAGAGGATGCCAGAACATCCTCTCTTCCCCATCTGTGAGAGACTCCCAGACTTACAGAGGCCTCTGATCCAAGCACCTAGAGGCCCTGGCTAGTGCTTCTGACAGGGAAGCACTCAGGGATGAGTGCTTTGATGATGAGCACACAGAGGCTCAGGGAAGTCAAGAGCAGTGGAGGGAGACTTCAGTAAACCCCCACACTGTAGCTTCTCACATACCCCGGTTCCCTTGGCAGCCAGAGTGCTCTTAACAACCACCTCCTAAGAGTACTGGTGACAAAGTCCGAGGGCAGGGCACGCAACTTCAAATAAAATGGGTGTCCCAGCACCATGCTCCCCCCATCCCCCCACACCACATCTTCTCACCTTGTCGGAAAGAGATATACACCAGCCTCTCATCAAAGTTCTGGACCCGCCGGAAGTTGTTGACCATCTCTCTCGGGGATGGGTCATCCAGATGTGTGCAGTACAGAGCAGTCTCCAAGGCCAGCAGCTGCAAGGCAGAAATACACCCCATGGGCAGAGTGATGCTCCCTTGCCTGACCTCAGCAGGGAAGAGATCTCTGGGGCTTGGCAGAAGGGATGTGAGAAAGCAGTGGGAAAGCCAGAGAAACATTCCCCCTCCCTAGCCGGTGTCTGGTTGACTGGACACCAGGGGACCTGGTCTGTCACCACCTCCCACGTCTTGGGGGGAGGTGAAGGCTCTCAGCTCCTGGGTGCTGGAGGGGCTCCTTAGCCTTTCACGGAGACAGCGTTCCCCTCACAGGCCTGATTTGCAACCCGCCTCTAAATCAAAGGGGCCTGGTGCTTATTCTGGTGGTCTCGTCACAAGAAGCAAAAAGAGGGAGCCAAGAGTTTCACAGTTCCTCTGACCACTGGCTCCATGGAAGGAATTTTCATACACCCACAAAGATTATATAATCTGTTTCCAGGGCAGCTTCTAGGTTACTGCCTCCCTGAACATTTCATCTCTTGATTCATCACATCTCTTTTCCTGTCCGCCTACCTGCTGCCATTTATCTACATTACTCAGATCAGTAGCTCATAGTAAAAAGAACAACCAACAGTGAGGGCCTTACTGGACTCAGGAAGAGGGGTTGGGGGGTGGGAGAGGGCACTGCCCCTGGCCCTGTCTCCTGGACAGCCAGTTTTTTTCTTGATGAATTTCATCTGTGGAGTAGGGGGATGGGCAGCGACCAGGAACCCCTATCTGACACTGGGGCTTGTCTCCAACCAGTGGGCGATCCCACAAGCTCCCTCAACTGTCTCTCCCTCACTTTCATCACCTATAAGACAAGAGGGTTGGAAATGATTGCTGTGGCTTCTGTCCCCCAGTTTTGCACTAGACTTTGAGCTTAAGAGCAGAGACCATGGCCTACTCAATGCTGCAGTCCCAGTGCTCTGGTTTGTTAAACCATCTAACCTGGTTCTGTCTTTATTCTGCCCTGTAAAGGAACCTTGTTCTCCCCCACCACGGAGGCAGACACCATCCAGCCACTGAGGGATATATTAGGAAATGCAGCCTAACAACTCGTATGGAACTGTGGAGATGGGTTTGTTTTTCAGGCTTGACTTGATAACTCCAGTCTTGAAGCTCAGCCTGTAATTTCTGCAGCGCTTCCGGGAACTGTGATATTTGGAGAGGTTTCGCATAGCTGTCAGTGCGGCTCTAAGTGAGGTAATCAAGTTGTCATGATATGGGTGATGGTAGAGACCGAGGTGCCACATGGCCTCTGAGTCAGAGGATACGACAGATACCTGCTCCTGGGAGATTTGCACAGGGTTCCGGAAGACTGTCCAGAGCACTGTGGGGTGGCAAGGAGGCGTGGTCAGGGACCCTTTATAGCGGTAGTATTCTTCAGGCCTCTCAGGAAGCAGCTCTTCAATGCTGAAACCTGGAATGAGCACCTCTTGGCCTGGAGAGACATGTTGGGGAAATGGTGTCAGCCTTTCCCCCATGGCAGGCGTGCTGTTGGGCATGTGACTGAGCCTAGAAATGTGGACAGCACCTGCCCCCTGCATTCACTTTTCTTTGGGTCACATGGGAGTGACTATATATCCTTCTCTCTAAGGGTAAATAAGCATCCGAGGACCCCTTACCTTTGTATTTTACATCTTGAAGGTGCCTGAAGATCTTGTCATAAGATGGATTGAAGGAGCCCATCTGCAACAGAGAGGGCCATGTTGAACTAGGACAGAATTCCATGTGCTGAGCCTGGCTTGACAGTTGCTAATGGAAGGGCTCGACTAAAGGTATATAGTCACCACTGCCTAGGTCCTCCCTGAAGGATGTGCTTTACTAGGAAAATTTTGAAGAATCACTAGCCTGTTAGGGAGTTAAGGTGATGGTCCTGTCCTCTTGCATCTCGGGATGCAAGGCACTGAGGCCTTAAGGCACTGGGGCTTGAGTGCTGCAGGGCAAGGAACATAGCTTGTCCTCCTGGTGATCAGGCTGTGGGTCTGAAAGCCACAACTAAGATGTTTTCTAACCAGAACTCGAGCTTTAGTACATACGAGCCAAGTCAGGAAAGCAAGTGTGTTGAAAAACAAAGTACTTATCATGTTAGGGAAAAACATGTGAGCGAATCAGAAAACATTCCCATTTTGGGGATTAAGGAAAGAACTCAATCTAGGGTCCATATAAAGACTGCAACATGGATGTTAAGAGTTGTGTAAAGGATTTGGCACCTGATGAGGCAGCACCGAATGATCCTCGCCTCCCAACCCCATACACACAGGGCCTACCCAGCTGGACAATTCCAAGCTTTATGCAATAGGACTAGGAACTAGGCTTCATTTTCTCCAGTGTTCCAAAGGAAAGGCCCATTTCTGCTGCCCAGCTACACAAAGCACTGCCTCTAGGCCAAAAGACAGGGTCCACTGGGTGGGAATACCTTCGGCTCTAGAGGCAAGACCCAGCCAAAATGAGAGTGACCCATACACATCCAACAGACAGGTAATTCAGGGCCCAAATGCCAAGTGTGATATCATCCTGGCTTCAAATTTCGTGTAAAACTCCTTTAAACATCTCTTACCTCTATGAGAACAGCCAGGACGGCGAGGCCTTCTGACTTATTACTGGCGGTGCTGGCGTTGGGGTACAGGTCCGAGTTATAGTGGACGATATGCAGCTGCAGTGGAAGGAAAGCTGCTCACCAGGGGACGGGCGACTCAGGGGAACCTTTTGCTTTTGCAGGGGACTCAGATCCAGTGGGGAGGACAAAAGCCCCTCTGCACCTGCCCCAGGTAGATTAGGCCTCTCAGACCCTTTCCTTCATGGCCTCCCCAGTTTGCCCTTTTTCCTCCAGTCCTCTAGACTAAAACCCCTGACAGGACAGACTGTCCATCTTATTTATTCACCATATCAGTGTCTGATATGGTGCTTAGAAAGTACCAGGTATATAATAGAGGAGGGAAGGAGGGACAGAAGCATCGAAGGAAGGGAGGGAGAGAGGGAGGGCGTTTATACTAGCCATGAAAAAGCTTGGGTACTTTGGAGCATTTCTCTCTTCTGATTTTTTTCTACTTATTCTGGAGCCTAGAGAAAAATGGCCTCATGTAGCTTGCACAGTCTCAACCTGGCCACTCTGCACTTGATCTGGAAGTAGTAAGGGCTGAGGCAAGAAACCTCCAGTGGTAACTTAATCATAATTGCATCCAGAGTAGGACACATATTTATCCCTCAGGTGGAAAAAGGAAATCACATCATGGCTTTTATACAGGTTTAATCAGCCATATTTTAAGAGACCAAAAAAAAAACAATAATGTTACTCTACTGAATATAGATTCTTACCATTTACAAAAAAATTCTAAGCTCATGTTTTCAAAGCAGGAATTACTTGTCATTATTAACGTGAGGAAAAGGCAACGTTCTGAGAAATCTTGGATTTAAAAAGTCTAGGTAACTGGGGCACCTGGGTGGCTCAGTCAGTTAAGCGTCCGATTTGATTTTGGCTAAGGTCTCATGGTTGTGAGATCGAGCCTCGAGTCTAGCTCTATACTGAGCGAGGAGCCTGCTGGAGCTTCTTTCTCCCCCTCCCTCTGCCCATCCCCCCTCCCAACCTTGCACACGCACATGCTCTTTCTCTCCAAAAAAAAAAAAATGTCGGGGCGCCTGGGTGGCTCAGTCGGTTGAGCGTCTGACTTCGGCTCAGGTCATGATCTTATGGTTCGTGGGTTCAAGCCCCACGTTGGACTCTGTGCTGACAGGTAGCTCAGAGCCGGAACCTGCTTCAGATTCTGTATCTCCCTCTCTCTCTGACCCTTCCCTGCTTATGCTTGCTCTCTCTCTCTCTCTCTCTTTCTCAGAAATAAAACATTAAAAATGTTTTTAAAAATGTCTAGGTAAGCATTAAGATATTGTTATGGCAAATTCTTACAATGTTGAACCTAATTTTTAATCCAAAATGTGATGTCCCTTGTTCTCCAAAAAGCTCTCTTAGTAGAGAGGTCTGTCTATGTGATATAGGCTTTTTGGTTGATTCTTTGCCTCTTGAGACTGTGACACATTGAGATTTTCTCCTTTCTTTTTCTTCGTATCTTTTTTCATCTTACATGGTTGTAAGCAGAATTCAAGCAGATTTTATTGACTACAACTTAATGTTCCCCACATTTCAAGTGACCCTTTCTAATTTTTAAAAGTTACACGACATTATTTCTTTTTTCAAGCAGCCCTCCCTGTGAAGGATGTAACCTGCCGTACTGCCCCACCGTGTTAGCTTGGCATGGCCTTGAGAGACGGAGAATTCCTTGTGGCTAAAACCCTGCAGGTCCTAGATCCTTAGTTCTTTTTACAGCTGCCCTTTGAGTGTGTGGTCTGCTTCAGCACTTTTCTTACTGTGTTCAGATTAAACTGAGAGGAGGTGAAGACTAATAACAGATGGAACAGAATTCCCCGCTGAGAATATGAAGAGAGTCTTTCTATAGGACTCAATCCAGAAGAACTGCTGCACTTTCAAGGACCCTCTGCAGAGAATCTGCCACTTTCGGGTCACCTTAGTGTATTTCTCTATTAGAGACATTTACGGCCCATTTTCACCAGGCTCTTGGTGATGATGAGGCTTAATAACAGAAAATATAATAACTAGAAATATATTTCATGCCCACATTCTCCCAACCTATACCTTAACTCCTTCTTTATTCCCCATGGGTAAGTAGAAGCCTCCACGTTGCAATTAGCCTGAAAGAAATTGCAGTCCTGGAGGTTCAGAAATGGGCCTGGTTTGAAATACGTGCATCTCTGAGAGTGCTGTCCTATTGGGCCAGAATTATAGCTGCGCCACACTAGTAACTCCACCTGTAATTAGCCTGAGACATTAAGCAGTTCAGCAGTTAAGAACAGAGGAGAATGGTCATGTCATTATTTACCGTGGGCTCCACTGGCTGATCAGTAGCATTTCTCTCCTTGTATTTATTGCCCTGTAAACATGCAGAACCACACCCGAAGTTCCACCCTCTGGGAGCTCTGAAATGGAGCATCTCAAGCACCCCCACTGTACCCCCTGCACACCTATCGTGCAGGAACAAATGCTTCACTCCTGATTTCTTTTGGTGTTTTGGGCTAGTGCCTCTGAGTGACATAACGATGCTGTGCCGACATCCCACACGATCCTCATTGACTCTCTCATTGCCGTGATGTCCCATGAATTATAATGCTAGTCTTCCCCTGGCTTGTGGCCATGGGTCCCAAGGTTCCAAGCACAACCCATGCCCAGGGAAAGGAAAGCTGGGGTGGGAAAGGCCTATGCAAACAGCATGGCTTGTGAAGAAAGACTGAGAAGTTTGGGGAAGCAGTCAGCCCAGTAGGATTCAACAGTGGGATATGATACGTCAGCCAGACAAGCTGGTGGGATCTTGATCTCTGCACGCAGAAGGCGATGCCAACAAAAGGGGCATGTGCGTCCCACTGTGCCACCCTGGGAGCGTTGCCTTCTGAGCGGCCCCACTCAGTAAAGACAGAGACAAATTCCACAAGGCTAGGAGGAAGGGGACCAGGACACCGCAGAAGAGCCGCGGGGTGACTGGAGTGGTTCTGCCTTCCTGGGAGTGGGTGTGTAGAGCCTGAAGGCAGCCCTTGCTTGGGCTCTGATCTTATCTGCACACCAGCAAGGTGGAAGAGTGCCAGACCACCCACCGCCAGGCAGCCTCTGCCGGCCCGCCCGCCTCACTCACCTCCGCGGCAAAGTGCTTCCCACCGACGGTGTGCTCGGAGCCGTGAGGGTCATTCTGGTTCCCCCAGTGCAGGTGCAGCTGCGCGGCACTGTAGCGGGACCGGAGGCCCTGGATGTGCATGTCCGGGGGCAGGTTCAGCCTCACTGTGGAGAGTGGAGCCTTCAGAGCCCTGGCCAGCTGAGCACTGCCTGAGAGCAGTTAGGGAAGCAACCCCGGCCCGGAGCCCAGGCAGGGGGCAGGTGGATGCAGCGAGTGGAGACACAGACTGAGGCTCAGAAGCCTGGTCTCTTCTCCTGAGAATGTCCCCGTTTCCCTAAAGCAATTCTACGGGCACCAGCACCTTCTAGGCTCCCCTGGAAAAAGGATGGCAAGAGCACTAATTCTAGATGGGTGGATGTTGTTTTACATATCCATGTATTACACACCCAGCTATCAAGATAGAACCTTTAATGAAGTATCCTCCAAGCTCTCTAGAATAATATAACAGCAACGATAATAATTGCCATTTATGAAGCATCTGTTGAGTTCCAGATCCCTAGTCTTTTTGCAGTATTCATCAATATGCCCATTTTCCACACGAAAGCTAGAGGAGGGTAATATTCTTACCCAGAGTCTTATGACTTGTAAGTAGTCAAGCCAGGATTCAAATCCAGGTTTGGCTGACTCCAAACCTGGGCACCCCCACAGTGAGTTTCATGGCTCCTGGAGGGTTTGGACCAAGGAGCCCAAGGGCTCAAGCCTGTCCCCATCCCCCCTGCCACTTCCCAAGAGATGTGCTTCTGAGAGGCGCTGCCCTGGGAGAACGACCTCCAGCATCTCCTGAATGAGTGGTCCAGGCCTCCTTCAAGCCCCGCCCCCCACCATCCCTTCTCCCCCCTGCCAGGTACAAGGAGCCAAGGAGCTGAGGGGAGCTAAGACATCCCCTTGCAGGCCTCAGAGGCCTCTCTCTCACCTGAATGGCCATCGTTGGTCAGGAGAAACTGCTCATCGGCAGAAACATTGTAGCCTTGGAACCCAAGGGGCACAAGGCTGGCATCGTACTGGAGGATGTCACTGTGCAGGTCTATTGGGGACTGCAGCACGCCCCCACATGATGGGTACTTCTTGGACCAGCTCTTCTCCCCATCAGGACCTGGCAGGGGAGATTCAGGCCCCAAATTTAGTCAGTCTTCCTTAAAAGTTTTTCCTCACTTTCTAATTCTGTGTCTAAGACAATTACTCCTTTTCTCCTCTTAATCTTCAGAGGTGTATTCTTCAAGGCCTAGAAATCTCAGCCTCCTGCCCACTTCTCCTTAAAGCGATATGGGGAAAGAAGGCCCAGAGCAGCCCCGTGCCAAGAACTTGGGCCCGCCAAGCTCAGTTTTCAGTTTACATTGTTCATATTTTGGCACAATGCACATCCTTTCCATGTGAGGACCTGTTTACATGCATCAATTTAGCATCTGTTTATGGGGCACCTATTATAGAAGGGATTATTCAGGGTCTTGGGGCCACCGGGTTGAACACAACCGTAGGGCCCCTGCCTGCCCAAGCTGGCATCCTCTGGGATGCTCCAGGCTGGAAAAATTGCTGTCTTACTGACCACAGCTCCAGGGAGGTCTTCAGGGCTCGTGGATTTACAGATACGATCTTCCTGATAGGAAACCCTTGAGGACATCGACTCTTGATAGCCACATCCAGAGCAAGTATAAAACCCCATCTGATAGAGATGCTTGAAAAATTCCACTTAATTATGGGCCTGGGATCACAGAGCTAAGTGCCAAGTTTGCCCTGGGAGAGTGTGACAACACTACAAACGAATGACAAACGATCATTGAGGAGGAAGAGACTTAAAAAATAAATCCTCCAGGCCTCAGGCTTCTTGCTAACTACCAGGTGATTGTCCTTCCTCTGGAAATGGAAGTAAACACTCCAATCCCATGTTCAGATAAACTTTCTTACTCCCACAGGGAAAAATCTTTAAAGAATGTGAAGCTGTGTTTAAAAGATTATCTCCTGTGGTAATTAAATGGATTTTCAGGCTGAGGTTTCTCCAGAAAAGCAAATAATTGGCATGTCATGGCTCGTTAGGGTAGAACCATAGTGCTCCGTGGGCTCTGTCTGAGTTGGGGACCATGCTTTGCCATCTGGGGTCCATTCATCAGTATTTGGGCACCAAGAATGATGTTAACTGGAGCAGCAGGAAAAGGAACTCCACTTCCAGGAAGCCTTCCATAGACAGCAGAATCATTTCACAAGAGTATAAGTGTGTATCCTGGTTCCGTACCCCTTATTCTGTAACTAGGGGACTTCATCTGAGAGTAAGGAGAATCTAAAGGAAAGCTTGGTGTCCATAATGCTATGAGGAATTGATCCGAGGTCTGGACACATGCGGTGGAACCCTGCTAATTTTTCAGACTGTCAACCTTTGGATATACCTTTGGGGAAATGTTAGGCCTCGAAGGGATTTCACCATCTCCTGTCCAACTTTTCAAAAGACACCAGTGTTCCTACTTGCACAAGCCAGTCGGAGTCTTCACTGCGATATATTTTAATTTCTCAGACCTCAGAGCCCTGGACTCAAAGCCACTCACACCAAGATGGCAGAGAGGAGAGGGAGGCCAGAGGACACCAAAGCTGTCACTCCATGGGGCAAACTGGAGTAAACGTTAGACCGTTACTCAGCGGAGCACAAATACAAATTCCTCAGGGACAGTAGGAGGCAGAGATGAAGCAATCATGAGGACCCTTCCAAACCCTCGGGTCAGAGAGAGGTACAGCTACCGGGTGGCAAGCCTTCTAGACTGAGGCCGCCAGCCTTTTCTCTGCCCACATCATCTGGAGCCGCAGCCAGCGTGGCAGAAGCTGCCAGCCAGGCACGAATGGAAAAACTCAGGGAATAAAGAGGTGTAGCAGTGAGACGATTTCTCCTTGTACGCATGACTAACGGGAACTGGGTCAGAAGGACTTTCTCTTCCCAGAGTGGAGGTTCCCAAAGGTGTCATGAAGAGGGCATGCTAGTGATAACTAAGCTAGGAGCTCCTAGGGGACACGGACATCTCATTTTCATCTCCGTGAACTCACACTCTGATTAGGGTCACGTGCGTAACAGGCATTTAGTATAAACAGCTTCCCAAAGAATAAGACCCCAAAGAACAGAGAGCTTGGGAAAAGGTTATCAGGAGGAACTTGTCTTTTTCATTGCGCCCTAAATACTCTTTGTTGGAAGTTACACTGAATTAGGTATTTGAGGGCAGGAAAGCTTAGGGATATAAAAGGCAACAGAGTCAGTGTTGGCAAAACCTTCTGAGGAAAGAAAAGCAACTACATGGGACCAGAAGAGTCCAGAAAACAAGATTTCAGCCACAGCTGTCCCAGCGCCTCTGTGAGTGACCTTGAGCAAGTCACATGCGCTGCCTGAGCCTCCTTTACCCTCGTACAAATGAGAGGATTGAATGCTGCATTCTCGAAGTTCCACTCTGGCTCTCAGCTCCAAGACCGATTAAGATTACTAGGACTAAGCGCCTCCACCCTCGGAGTCAGGCAGGTTTGATCAAGTTGGAGAGAGTTGCTCATGCCAAGGCAGCTCCCGGGCATGTGACAAGGTGCCTGTGGGAAGCGGCTGTGAGGCTGCAGGCAGGTGGCTGCTGCTCTGAGGTATGGCTGGAAAGCCTTCTGCATCGGGAACCTGCCACAGGTCAGGCTGCCGTCCACAGGGGGCCTCATCTTTGAGCACCAGTCACAGGCGCTTTTAGGGGCAACAGGGTCTAGTAGAAAAGCCTACTCCTCCTGCTTTATTATTATTTTTAGTAGCTTTGCTTCTTACCACTCTAAACTCTATAGGATCAGCAAGGCAAGAATTGCCCCATTATACAGATGAAGAATTGACATTAAATGATTTGCCCTAAATTAGACTCTGGCTCAGTTAACAGCTACGTTGCCTGGGTCCCAGGACCTCTGTGCCCTTCTGTTTTAGTATGTGTCCAGGAGAATTTGTGCATTCCTGTTTCCTCCCTCTCCTGTGCTCGCCATGCAGGTAAGGGCCATGTCATGTTCATCCCTGCCTTTTCCGTAATCCCTGGCACCAAGCAGGCCCTCACTTGTTTACTGAGCTGGATTCTGATGCTAATTTTGTGCTTGTTCCTCTCCAGGGAAGCATGCACCTATACTAATCCCTAGCTTCCCTATTACCCCGTATAATTTTTTTTTTTCCCATTAGAAAGAAAAGAAAAAAATTATGTCCTTTGCTCAGGTTCCAAATTTACCCTCCTAGCTTCCTAGTTTACCTGCCTGAAGGTTTGTTCTGTTTGGGGGCCACTTGTTTCGCTGAGAACAAAATCTGGTTGCTGCCCTGTAGCCTGGGAGATGGCGTGCCAAGTACGGGGCTTCACCGCAGTTCCCCTCCACCAGCATGTGATGGCCAGTGCCCCCTTCTTGCATGTCTGGGGACGTTGGCAGAGCAGCCTCCCATCTTTGGGGCTTGTGGGTGAGAGAGGTGTGAGGTGCTGTGTGAGTGGGCACCAGGGCGGCTGGGAGCATCGTCAGTAGACCCCTCTCTGCCCCCCACCCCTCGCCTCTGCCTGGGCAATGTGTGACTCATTGCAGAAGCAACACGGGCTTTTTACAGGCAGCTACAGCCCAGGCTGTGGCTTTTCAACTTGGCTACAACTTTCACACTCATGCCAAGTGCTCTGGTGCCAGAAAACCTCTCTTGGGACTGACTCTTCCAAATGAAGCATTTATTTCAAACTATCACAAAAATACCACTTTTCTCATCTGAGTTTTGACTTTGCCTTTTCAGTTAGTTGGTTTCCTCACATGATCCTGATAAAGGAGATCATGTGTATCTCCCAGTTTGTTTTTCCAAATAAAGTCAAGGCATTATTTCTTTCAAGTTCATGTTTTTCTGCTATAGGCAAAACAGAAGTAGACCAAATTTCTGTTTTGAAATGTGACAAGAGATTAACATGATACAGCTCAAAATGCCTCTTGTGATCTCTGAGGGGGAATTAGGAAGCCCAGGGTATAAGACTTGATACCCAAGGACCAGAATTCTTTTTTCATGGAGAATTTCAAATATATACAACAGGGGAGAGGAGAGCACAAGGAACCTCCGTGTCCCCCAGGTGACAACTAACAATTTGCAGAAACAAATCAGCTTCAGCTATATCACACCCACTCCTCCCATCCCTGGATAATTTTATATCAAATCCAAATGTATTTCGTCTGTACATATTTCAGCATCTGTCACTAAAACACAAGGACTCAAAACCACAATACCATTCCCACACTTCCAAAGTGAACAGTTCCTTAATGTTATCAAATCTAGTCAGAATTCAGTTTTCCAGTTATCTCATAACTGTTTAATGGTTCAACTGTAAGCCTCAGGACTGAAGTACAGTCCACAAACTGCAGTTAGTCGACGTGTTATGGCCTGGATCTCAATGTGATGGTGTGATGCCTCATCGGACAACAACCGGCCCCACCCTTCCAAGGCTCCAGATCTCAGAGCCAAGCTGGCCCTGTCCATCTTGTGCCCTCAGTTGGTCATGGAATCAAACAGAAACTGTTACCAACATGGCCTCCACCACCCTGGGGTAGGCCCTCATCATGTCACACCGTAAAGGCTTCCTGCAGAGGCCCCTGCCTCAGCCTCTCCTGTTAGCTGCCAGCCTCCTTTCTCCTGTAACCGAGTTTAGCCCTGCCTCTGTGGCGCTGCCCCCCACCCCCACTTCTCCAGAGCACGCCTGCCCCACCCAACAGAACGGAGCAGAGCCGTAGCCATCTTTCAAGGCCTGAAGCACCTCAGCCTATAGAGGTCTTCGGTGGCCCTCATACCCTCCCCCGTCAGCCCCCACGGTCAGGCCGGCTTCCCCATCCTCAGAACAGGCTATGAACTCAACCTTCACAAATGTACTTATGCTAAAAAAGTGTGCTTAAAATGTCTTCTTTCCATGGGGCGCCTGGGTGGCTTAGTCGGTTAAGCGTCCGACTTTCGCTTAGGTCTTGATCTTGCGGTTTGTGGGTTCGAGCCCCGCGTCGGGCTCTGTGCTGACTGCCTGCTCTGAGCCTGGAGCCTGTTTCAGTCTGTTACTCCCTCTCTCTCTCTGGCCCTCCCCTGCTCACGCTGTCTCTCTCTCTCTCTCCTAGAAA